GCCCTTATTTTTACGTGCAGTATGAGAGCCTTGTTTCAAACTTTGTACGATGTTAAGATCGTTTGAAGGAGATATCAATCCATAGGGCTACAGAAAATGATGCTGCTGTTTAATAAGCTAATCCTTCACAGAAAGACGACTCAGGAAAACATTCTTCCCTCTGTAGAAGGCTACAAACAAATGGAGGAAACTCTTTGGCAGCTATAGATACCTTCCGTCTTTAACAGGAAGAAATAGGCTTGGATCTTCTTAATCTTTGGCCTGAATTCTTGTGTGTTTTTGTGAAGACTTTCACAAGCAGCAGTGGGAAGTTCAGTGTTTAGCATCTTTTGTCTGTGTATCGAGATCTGGAAGGTGGGCTCAGAAAGCAGCTAGAAATGTAGTTGAGGAAAGAACAGCAGTATGCAGCGGATGAGGTAAGCGTTTAGATTGATAAATTAAATTTTTTTTTATATTGTTACATCACTTTCCCTCCCACCCCTTTAACCCAATTTAAAGGGAAAAGACAAGACTCAAATGAGCACAAGTTATGAAAAGTTTGCATAGAGCTTTCTAGGGTTACCTGCAAGACAGACTCAGGATCCCTGGAATTCCTGCATTAGCAGCTTGCTGGAGGTCATTGGAGTGCAGCTGGCTGACAAGAACTCTTCCCATGTTGGCTCTGAAGGGCCACGGAAGGTTTTCAGAACACAGCTCGTGTGTGATTTTTCCAGTCATTAGTATCTATTCCATTAGGGGTCTGTGTCACTGTATTTCCCTGCTGGTGTAATGACCAGTCTTGGGCAAACATCTCTGCTACTTCTGCCATCATGACTGTTTTTATTGCCTCACCATTACAGATTAAGAATAATCTGTTTTCCGTCCTCTCACAAGGAAGGAAAGGCTTCCTTCCACACAGAACAGTGTGGAAAAAGATGGAGAATTGAATGCAAAGACCAGAGGACCAAGGACTCTCCAACCTGGTGATTTCAAGGCTTGTCTACTTTCTATTGACACAGAACCAGAGAAACAGCCTTCTGCGGTTTTAGATGCTAGCGCTCTTTTCAAAGACTTTATTTTTGAGGGGGAAATAATGATTGGGTAGGTTTCATTCAGCTGAGGAAACCTGCATGGAAAGGATATATTCCAGGGAACTTACAAAAAAAAAAAAAAGTATCTTAAATCAGTATATTGTTCAGAGAGTATTGTATGCTTAGTATTTAGAGCCCTAAGCTTTAAGATATTCATAATGCTTAGGTATTTCTGTAAGTGTTTTACAGGCTTCTGCAGAGTGTTTTCATCAGCAATCTCACACACCATAACAGACATAAAACCTGTATGTATTGGGCATTGCCAGGTGTGTATGTCTAAATGCATATATGTATTTGTTTGCATCTGTAAAACGCATCCTGTGTGCAGATATTAAACACACCCTCTCTGGGATTACGCTGTGACTTGCATACTTGGAGGCAAAGGCTCTGGATAAAGAAGAACCTATCCAGAATAGAGTGGAATTTACTGCAGTTGCTGTGGCTTTTCAAAGCAATGGCTGCAGTCAGAATCTGGCCTAAGTAATTAACTTACGAAGGATGGAAAGGAAAAGCAGCATGTGGAAGATGTAATTAATGGGAACATATAACAGTCAGTTCTCACATAATAAATTGGCAGCTATGCCTGTGGTAACTGCCTTTTATTTGTAAAATACAGTTGGAATTTTTTAAAAGTAATTGCACATTTTCTTCCTTTTCCACGTGGTCCCAGAAAACATAGTACAGTACAAATACCAACAGGAATGCAATAAAACCACGGTTGTTGGGTTTTGTTTTTTCTTTTTCAGGCTCAGGGCTATGATCTTATTTGAGCCAATGTCCAAAGGAAAGGAGGAATACATTTTAGCTCAGGAAAAGATAAGTGGTAAAACATTTCAGTGAGGTTTAATATGGAATAATCTAAAAGGACAAGGCAGGAACAACCAGAATAAATAACAGTAAATGGCTAGATATCTATTTGCAGAACAGATTTAGTAATGTAATTCCCCTGACTCAAGTAAATAATGGTGAAGATAAATGTTCTGAAATCCTTCCATTTTGAAGGCTTGAATTTTCCCTGTCTGAAAGTTTACCGCAGCTTTTCCTGAATAGCAAGCATGACATCAGTTGTTCTTTAGATAGGCCACAGATGCTGGCAGATCTTCAAGAAAATGCATTCTACCACCTGCCTAGTGCAAAGCTCTGGAAGGCTGCAAGATGACACAATGCCTTCCCACACCCAGCTGCTGATTCAGCTGACTCAAGCAGCCTGCTGGAAAAAAATGGTGCTGTAGTCCTCCCTCGCAAAAAAATTGCAAAAGGAAGGTGACGAGGGCTCGCAACTGGGGTTTGCCGCTGTGACCAAACACACAAGCTACTAGGCTTCTTAATTGCCATTTCCAGGCTTCTCAGTGGAGTGAACCAACCGCATGCCATTCCTGCTGCTACTTGGCATATGGGATTCCCCTCTGCACACAGGTGGGGAGGTAGGCTACCCACCATTTAAGTGCCTAGTTTGTCTGTTTGGGTTTTCTTTTGTTTTTAAGCAATTTGTTTGCCATCACCCCTGATGGGTGGTGAGGAGGAAAGGGGAAGTCCAAATCTATTCTATTGTAAGTGTGAGGGAGGATCCAGCCTATTTTATCTGGAAGGGCATGGGGATAGGATCTAGTGGTAACAACCTAGCATTGGAGTGAGTTCTTCTCACTGTAAATCTGACTAGAAGCTTTATTGCTGTCTAAAATGGAACAGCCTGAAGACCAGGAAATACAGTTCTCTAAAATATTCCTGCTGTAACTAGTCTCTGTATTGCTGACCCCAGGGGATCTTGCATTTGCTGCAGGCTGGGCCTGGTAGGCAGTTTGTTGCTGAACTAAGCCTTTAAACAGAAAGCAAGTTTTAAAAAGTACGTCCTGCAATTTTTGTACTGATGAATTTAGAATGATGTTCTAGCAAGCTCAGTACACTCCAAATTAATTAGCAAGGATCCTTTTAACAGGATAATTACTATATCAGCAAGTGGTAAACTTGAAATGAATGTGAGTAGTCCTGGCTTGCATCAAGGAAGAGACGTGTTGCAGTTCTACCAACTGATTCTAAATTCACCCTAGTATGAAAGGTTTTAGACAGTGCAGCTGGTCAGCAGCAGCACTCTAGCTTTTTTACCTCTAGACTTGAATTAGAATCCCAAATGAAGTTGCATTCTACTCTCCATATGTCTACCTCACAACACCATGGCAAATGATGATTGGCTTTTTTAAATTTCTGCTGGAAAAAGGCCCAAAATAAGAAGAGCAGAAGGTGCTGCACATTATTACTAAAATAAGATGGTAGAAAGGGCTATGAAGTATATGAGACTTCCTTCCTTCTTTATGCTGTGCATTTTCTTCTTTCATAATGGAAGGGCTGGGTCCTGCATAGAATAGTAACAGCTCACAAGTATAAACACGTTCACATGTTTGGGAATTGGAATTGTTAAATGAGGTTCATCTTTCAAAGAATAAACATGTCCTTGCTTATCAGGCTATGGATAAATAAGTATATGACTGCTGCAGTTGTGGCAGAAACACTTTTATTCATTCTGGAAACCAGATTCTGTCTTTAGATAGCTGAGGCTTTAGAAAATAAGGTTTAACTGGGAATTTTTAATAAGGGAAATTACCTTAATTAGGTCACTTTATATTTGCTAGATTTTTTTTATATGCTTTTCTGCTCTCTTTTAGAATAGATGTAGAAATTTGTAAAAGCACCTGCCATTTTCTGTGAGAATATAATTTTCTAGGCAGGCTTTCAAAAATCACTTATCTTACTTTCAGCTTCTACAAGCTAAGCCCAGCAAAGTCAACGGTCTTACACGGATCTAAAGTGTGTTCTTGGGAGAAATTAATTGGGCCCTCTGTTGTTCACTCTAAATGTGAAAGTACTAAATTAATAATTATTAGCCATTTCTTAAAAATGGATTTTGACACTCAACAGACCAGACAATCTCTCAAGTTATTTCATAGGACCTTGTGGTGCTTTATGAAATGTGAAGCACAAGCCTGAATCCTCTTGTCTAGATGGTCTTGTCAAACTTGAACAATGCCATTTTCTTTCTAGCTAGATTGTATGCCTGAGTTGGGCCACTTTTTAAAATGTCTCTGTTTTATATGATTTTTTATAACTTGTCTCAACTGCAAGCACAGTGAAACCAGGAAAAAAACTGGGTGGTTTTGTTTTGTGGTTTTTTTGTCTTCTAACTGGTAGAAATAGAAAGGCAAGCACCTCTGTCGAAAATGCCTGTGACAAATGCAGTTGTCATCTAATGATCTGTGGGGCTGCCTTTTTTTAAGGTTTAGGTTATTCAGACCATGCAGTTCCTAGAGACAGTCTTGTGTATGCAGTTTCATGGTATTGCGTAGTTTTTTAACTGAATCCAGCAAGGATGAGGTAACATTTTGAAGAAGATTGTTCATTCAAGAAACTTAAGAAAAATGTTTAGATGTCACCGTAACAGTAGAAATCTGTCACCACCCTTCACTTGCATGTCTGCACAGTTGTTGCTGCTGAAGTTGTTCCCATACGTGGTTCATCGTGCCCTACTTTATAGCTGGACAGTTCAAGTAGAGCTAAATGCTTCCGTACTTCCTATAATGGATAGGCTTGTCCTTCTATTTGAATACATGCAAGTACATATGTTAGCACAGTGCCACCAAAGATAACAACCAACTTTAAGTGTGCCAAACCTTTCTTGCTACTACAAACTATGGCTACAAAATCCCTGTGGATAATATAATAGGGAACTAGTAAAAACCCACCATACAAATGGATTTAAAAAATGTCCCATTTCTATGAATTTGCTTCTGAAATTTCCCCTACAATTTAGAAGAAATTATTGATCTCTTGGTGGAAGAGATGACTTAGGCACTCAAGGTATGTTTGATCGTAGAAATAAGCTAAGCCCTTCTGAAGAAGCTGTGGGAAATGCAGCCTCTTTCAAGTCAGTAACTGTGCTCACTGATCTTCTGATGGAGCTTGGGATTGCTCTTTTGGAGGAAAAGCAACAAACTCTTTCATTTCTGTATCTTGGTCAGCGATGGCATGAGTAGTAGCTTCATAAGGCTCGCAAGGGCAACAGCTAACTTCTTTCCTGCTCTTCTGCAGGATGGTAGCGCGGAAGTCTAATGTTATCACTGCCAAACGATACAATTGTAGAGTCACAACTAAGATATTCTTAGCTGTAAAAAACACCAGCATCTGATTGAATATTCTGAAGTGGCCCATCAGGATTGAACGCACAATGAAGAAGGGACCATCCTGTATGAAAAGGCTGACCCCAATGTTCCACAGTTCTGCACTGTACCTGCACAGCAGCAGGCTGGGGATCCGCCTAGTCGATGCAGTTGGCTTGCAGCCAATGTGCTGTACTGGAAATAAAACACAGTTATGTTAAAACAACTTTCTAAAATTGAACCAGGGTTGGCCTAAAGGGCAGTTATAATCCAGGGTACCCTGGATTATAAATGCATTCAACTGTGAACAATTCAACATAAAGCATATCCAATTTCTAGGATCTGTTTCAGCAAAACACACTAAGCTCATGTTAAGCAGGCACTTACATGGTCTGCTGAACAGGACCAAAACCCACTTCCCCTTTTCTATCCCACAAAGCTATCAGTGTTTATACACTTTTAGAACAAGAAGCAGAAATAGAACACCTAATCTTTCTGTAACAACTTCTCCAGACATTTTTCTGTTAAATCAACATGCTAGGCTAATATGTATATTGAAGAAAAAAACCTACTATGCTGAATGGGAACAGCTTGAGCTGTAGCACTCTAATATGTTCCAGGCTGTCTAAGACCTTGCTTTTAAAAGATTCACCAGATAACCATTGCCTTTTTCATGTGTCATAGTAAGAGTAACTCATGTCAGTGTGGGGCAATATCAAGCACTATGGATAGGAAGAAACTGTGGTCTCTGCCATATAAGACTTGAGCCACAGTTACTTGTTCTTACCCTTCTGGGTATGAAATTGCATGCAAGTTCTGGTGGGCTAGAGTGCTCTTTGTGGCATGGTGTCTAGAGAAGGATCATCAGAACGGTTTGTGTGTGGTAAATATGGCTGCCCCTTATGAAAATGCATGTAGCTTAACTAACCTGTCTCTCAGGCAGGAGGATTTCATTAGTTTAAAAAACATAGCTACTTGTGATGCAGTAACAACGGCCAAACATTTCAGCTTACCAAAAGAATTCTATTGTTTTGAGTCAACACTGGGGGAAAAAAAAAAAAAAAAAGATGAGACTCAAGTGGAAAATGAGTTGTAGAATGTAGAAATTTGCTGAATGCATTAGGCAAAGGTTCAGCAGCAGGTAATTTTGTAATGTGTTTTTGCACCGTTGCTGTTTAATAGTCCTAACTGCATTGCTGTAGTCCAGTAATAAGTGCCTAAAAAAAATCTCTTTTTCATGTCATGTTTGATGTGTGAGTAAACGTTCTGATGCTTGAATAAGAAGTACTATCTGTGCAACTGTATAGAGCTATCTAAAATAAACTGTACCCATAGTAAATTTCAGGGCAATGTGTATTCAATAATTTAATGTTTAACTAGTAAATGTAATTAAATAAGCAGAAAGGCAATAACCAGAGAAAAAATGCACAGTACAAGAGGTTACTTAAATTAATACTATGATTGTTTAATTGAATTTATTTGGATGGTGGTGATGTGTGTGTGTGGGGGGGGGGGGTTGTTGGTGTTTGTTTGGTTTTGTTTGGTTTTTTTTAACTTGAGTGTTGTGCATCTTTAACAGAATGTATTTCACCAATAACCTCAATTTTAGCTGTGATAAATCTGAGATGTGGTTGCATCAGTTTTTTCAGAAGGTGAGCTGTTGAGCTGAAATGCTGAAATATTTTCGTAACTTCAGTGTTGAAAACAAAACCTAATGCTGTCCGTGAAGAAAAGGCTAATGAAAAATGCCTGGAATATTTTTTTCATTATTATTTTATTAATTTATTATTTTAGTCAGTGTGTCAACCTAGTAATCAATTTTATATAAGATGCTAGTGAGGATAACGTATCTTTGGACTGGTATAGTTGAGTTGCAAACTTGTAGTGATTGGTTGGAACAGATGATGACTGAGGTAGCTTTCATTATTCTTTTTGTACATAGAGAAGCCCTTTTTTCCTAGGGACAAATACAAGCCTGAACATTGGGCCTTTTAGATTAAGATAAGGGTGTATAGTCCCAACGTTACATGGTCCTTTAGGTTCCCTGTGACTAGGTAATTTCTCCTGTGATGACGTCTTCTGTGCTCTTGGCTGTGCTGTTCCCTGTGGTTAACAATCTCCTATCTCTCCATAGGGCCTAGTGACCTACTCAGATTTGAGCCATAATATAATGCGAGACCAGATCTAACTTGAGAGCTCACATAGTGAAGTTTAAGGCGGTAACAGGCAACTGGAGTGGATGTTCCAATACAATAATGCAATTCCAGTTTTTTCTGAAAGTAGAGAGTTTTATCAGGGAGATCAGAGGTTAGCCAGAAACAAGTGTTTCCTCAAAAGAAACCACAATGGGCTTTCTTCAAAATCCATCATTGTTATATGAATTGCACTCCACCAGAAGCACTTGGCATAGTCTGTAGTGTATGCACAGCCACAAAACATGCCAGCAAAAACTTAAAGCATTTGTTCTCTTTTCTTGTCTGAGTGCAAGTACTAACCTGCAAGATCAAGTGGAAACTGTAACATACTCCAGGTCCATACAGCAAGAATTGCATTTATGAGAGCATAATTCTTCCTATGGGAGGGGAAAAAAGTGATAACAGTGAAGATGCAGTTTCCTTATGTGATAACAAAAATGTTTCCTGTAGTATTTGGAATGTCGTTTAAAGGATGGTTGAGCAAAACAGTGGTTACTGCATACTTTTCAGATGTAAGACTAAGGAAACCAGAGGCACCTTTTGCTATGGAATTTTTGCTGTTCAGGCTACGTGTTCCAGCTGTGTAATTAGGCTAAATATCTGATGCTAACATTATAATGCTAAGCATACGGAAATAGGCTCTGTGGCTCAAAGAGGAGATATCTTTGCCCTTGTAGCAATTACACATTCCTCGCAAGCCTGAAACTTCTCTGCCAAGTGGGAAGGACCTCTTTTCCTGCTCTAAAACCTTTTCTTTGATATTTAAAAAAAGTAAAATAACATAGTATGTCTGTAAGAGAGGATGAACCTCTTCTGTGATTCTTTTTCTTTATGATGGATGTTCACAGCTCATCTCAGTGCTGTGAGGGGAAGATGAGCTTACTTTCTCTGGGAGAGATTGCAATGTTGAAAATTCACACCAGACTATTGACATTGCCTTTCTTCTTATCTTTGAACACTTTGTCGTTGTATCATGAAGAAAGTACGTATGACATAACCAAAGAAGCAACTTGGATAATGAATTACTAAAGCAAGCTCTAGTTGCTTCCTTGCCAGTCTAAAACAATTCATTTAACCTGAAAGAAGCTTACTGTGTATCCAGTTTCAGCTTCTGTAGCTGTAAGAACTGATGCTGCATAGAGTTACGCTAGTTGGTTGGCTCTTTGTACCCTTTTATTGGGATGGATGTGATGTGCTTCTCTGCCGGCAACAGATGAGTAATGCCGAACAAAGCTCATAGGACTTAGGCCTTTTACAGAGGGACAGGTGAGAGTAGGAAAATGGAGACCTTGAATGTAGCCTTCTGTTATCTGTGGGATCCGCAGTTCCACCAGTCTGAACGCTGCAGATCGCACAAACAAATCTTCAAGCAACACAAAGGTCTTGCACTATGGAAATTATTTATGTCAGCAAATAGTCCTTACCGAACATCTTCGATGTCCAAGGTTTCACTAGCAAATTCAAGTATATCTGCTGCTGTTCCCACAAACATGAGAAGCAGCTGAGACAATTGATCCCGTGTGATTTCAACTCCAATGGGGAGAAGCCATCTCCCAACTACTAGTAGCAGTAGAAAAGTCTGGTGGAGGGCCAGTGTCCATACGGTCTCACAGATCGTGGAAAGGTGATTCACAAAGACTTTAGCCTGTTTAAAAGACAACAACAGTAACATATTGTAACTCCAGGAGATTGACATTATAGGTACCTTCAGAGACTGTATTTATCCTTGCTTTTGTTCTCCTTCACTTTGTAATAGATCAGATCATTTCTATGTGGCAGGCATAATCTGAAAAAGGCACATTAATACAAACTTTGGGTAATGGATAGCAAGTCTTTCTCTGTGTACTACTCTTCTTGTTCTCTTTTTTCTGCTGGACATTATCCGTTGCAGAACCATCACCCAGATGCTTTCCAAATTCAGTTACTGAGATTTGGAAAAGAATGGTAGAAGAGTCTCCTCTTCACGCAGAGACTTGTCCTACCAACAACAGTTAGCATGCAGCACACTGTAGGCCATTTTCACAATATGGTTTTCCAAAACTTCTTTTCTTTCTTTTTCTCTTTTTATTTTTACTCACTGTGTGAGGAGCTTGCGCAAATAGGCGCAACAGTCCTCTCTAATTGCTCTAATATTATAAGATCTCTACTAGGAATAGGAAAAGGTGTCCCACCGTCTGAATGATGTGGTGACCTGTTCCCTCACTTCCATGACTGGTGTCTCTGGATTGATTGAAGTCTTGGTTGCTGACATTCATTTGAACTGCTCCAGGCTCATTACCACAGTACTGTTGTGAACAAAACCAGACATGCGTAAACATCCCACACAGGGAGCAGATGTGCTCTGTGCTGGAAGAGTCCTGTTTTGCTGAACTGCAGAGTGTTCATTTGTGAAAGTCAGTTGATGTTTACAAAGGTACATGCTCACTCGGATTGTAATTGCCTTCTTGCTCAGAAGGGAGGAATTCCTCTCATGAGGACAGGAGTGAGGTGTTGGTAGGTCCCTGAGAAAGTGTGGGATTGTCCTGTAGAACAGGATGTAAAAATCAAAGGCTGATGCAGTGGGTGACATCTTTGTGCTGTTAAGACCACACTCTGTGAATGCGATCTGTCTGCAGCTCTCCTGAACAGGCTGCTGGGCTTCCTACATAGTCTCTCTCTGGCTAAAACAGTAAAGTAGGGTAAAAATTGGTTATGGTCAGCCTGCTGGTTTATGTTCATGGTCAGTCTCTATATTCAAACTTGTTCTCAGAATATCTGCTGCTCACCTCTACTATCCAGAAAGTTATCTAAAAATGTCATTGTTTCATTCTTCTGTATGACTTCCCTCAGGCTGAAATGAATAGAGTTGGGGTAGGATGTTTGGGTTGTATTCTCTGCTGCTGCCCCCCCCACCCGTTCCTTATTCTGCAAGGAAATTCAGAGTGTGAGAGGTGAGATTCAGATATAATTCATAAAAATGGGCCTGTGTTGTTGCCTACTCCTGCAGAGTAGAAAAAAACCAGGTATTTTTACTTTCTCCAAGTACCCAGTGCTCTGGGAAATTGAATGTTGGCTAGAATATACTGTTACTTCAGCTGCAGTAAACCAGTGGGTGGGACTGTCCTGTCTGAGGTCTGCAGCACTGCACTGCCCTTCTACCTTCACGCCCAAGGCTGGCCCTGGAGCAGCTTGGGGTATGGTTCTAAAATCTATCTTCATAACAATCCCTTAACATCTCTCTTCATTGTAATAAAAAAGGGGTAATTAGAAAATCAAACCATGCTGTTATTAAAGACTTTTATCCTATTCCATTTGTGCCAGAGAACACCAGATAATTTGCATTTCTCCACTGGGACCCCCACCATTTTATTGCACGAGGGGTGATTTTTCTGCAACAATCAGAATGTGTTCTAGTGCGTACTGAGTAGCTGTGTTCAGCATAATGCCTACCAATATAAAGGCAACATTTTCCAGCAAATGTCACATTCTAGCAAACTTCAGATTCTACTTTGATACTTTACTTGGTCTCTGATAATGTTGCTTAGTATCTGGGTAAATGCTGCCTCTTGCCCCACCTTGTCGTAGATAAATGGAGCAGCTTCCCATGGTCTGAAAAATCTGGAAAAAAAAGTCAGTGCTTGTTGCTTTTATAATTGGTGGTAAAGGCTCTTAAACTGAATGCTTGCTGTATTTGGAAGGTGGGTGTGAGAGCATTGAAAGGTTGATGCACAGATGTGGGCAAGATGATATTTCCATGTGGAAGAGGGAAGTCTAAAGTTCTGGCCATGGAAACGGTAAGATGGAGGGGCTGGTACTCTGCCCAGCTACAGCCTTGTGGGGCTAATCTCTCCTCTGGTTCAAGGGCTAACCCAGAGAGACAGAACAGCTTTTTCAGAGGATGTTTCAGAAAGGAAATTTAACTGGTGCTCTGGAGAAGCCTTTTTACCTGTTGCCTGGAGAAAAAGTCTGAATCCTATGGAGACCAGCCCCCAAGGTCAAAGTCAACTTTCTGAGTAGCCCCCACAGGCACTGTGACACAGTCAGCTGAGGAGACCATGACCTAAAAATACTTCGTAACTGGCATAACCACCCCAGAGTACTAAGAAGTGAGTATCTACCTTGTAACAAGTAGCCTGGGTAGGACGAAGGGATTGCTAACTTGTGCTGGAGGAGGAAGGCTTATTCACTTTGGTTTGTCATTAAGTCAGCATTTGAGCTTGACCCTCTGCCCCCTTGCGTGGTCTGGCAGGGGTGAGAGGAACGGAGCCATGAACTTGCATTAAACTTCACATCAGAGGTTGGGGATTTTTTTGTTTGTTTTTTAAAGCCCTGTTTCTCAAGGATGAATTTGCCAAAATTTGAGGCAGGACCCACGTGAGGCAGCCTGCTGCATTTGCTGTGTGTGCAGGGATGGTGAAAATCCCTTCCCAAACACTGTGAGAACTCCTAGCAAATAAATCAGTTGGCTGAAGGACAGGAGTGAAATAGGAGCCTGTAGCAGTTATACTGCGTGGATAGCAAGGTGTAGGGGTGCTGCTCAGCAGATCCTGTGGCTCTCCCTATGCCAACAACAGAGCGCAAGTGCTCTCACAGCACCAGAGCGGCTGGTCTGCTGGAGGGAGGTGGAGGAAAGCACTCCACAGCTTCCAGGGAGCCTGCAAGGGGTCTCTTTCCCAATTTTTTATTTTTTTTTCCTTAGTGGCACTAAGGTGCAGAGAATACTTTAAGAAAATTAATTCACTTTATCAGTGTCTCTTGTAGGTTTCTCGTATGTAATTTTTGAAACTACTCCCAGCAGAATGGGGGGTTGCTGTTTCAGTGCAAAGTTCCATGAACTCTGACCGAATGGCACTCCTCAGGGCTGAGTCCACGTCTCTTCTCAACTGCACGCAGGCAGGAAATGGAAAACCACATCTGCAAAGCCAGTCATTTAAGTAGCCTCCAGATTTTTAATTTAAATATGTTCATCTCTTGTTTTGGTTTGTTTCTCTCTGTATATTTATTAAGTGGTGATTGTGGTGGTGATTCACTTGAATGTCTGGAGAAGAGCCTTTAGTTTCGTCATGTATATGCATGTAAGCAGGGCTGTTGGTGCCAGGCATATTTGCCTAGCCAATTATGTATGTGCAGTGACTTAATGGGAATGTGACAAGGCAAAAGTGAATACTAAGTTTCACAGGCAGTTGCTAAACGTCATTTACCTCTTTACTGCTAAAGCCCAGTTACTCCTAGGTATCGAGACTGTGTGGACAGCTAAACAAAAGTGCCTTTTTTTTTTTTTTTTTTACTGTGCAAAAATAAGACGGGAAGAAATTGTACACATTTTCCATGAATTCTGGCTTGGTTTACTTCACTTCTTCGCAGGTGAAGCTTACGTTTCTCTGATTTATAAAACATCTAATCAAAATGAAAACTCTGTTGCATGACAGGGTGTTGTCCTAGTGCGTGGCCTACAGAGAGCTCGCTGTCAGTGAGTGGGGAACTCCTGAAACCCTGAGCTAATTCAGCAAACTTCTGTTTGCATGTTATTCACAATCCATTATTCCCAAATAAAAACGAGGTTAGCTGAAACTTTCCACAACGGGTCCAGCATTGAGATGGTAAAATTGATGCTGGAATACCGGGGCAGAGTACCCTCAGTCCTGTTAACGTGCATTTAGGGTGCCCCCCCCGACCCCCGCTGGAGCGGGCCCTCTGCCAAGCAACAGGTACCCCGCTTGTTCGCTGTGATTTGCTGGAAACCGTGTGGCTGTCACTATGGCAACATGTGTGATGTCAGAAATTCAAAGCAACTGTCACTGCTTCATTTTGCTCATACAGGAAAGCTGAAACATAAAAGAGGGAGAAAAGATTGCTTAAGCTGTTTTCCAAACTGGGCAAGATAATGGGTATGAGAGGGAAGAAATGGTCGAAGACGTAAGATTACTTTTAGGAGAGTAATACACTAGAATTTTATTTGGTAAGGGAATCCCACTTTGGAATGAGGCTGAGGGAATGGGCAGTAATATTCACTATTCCCTTAAAATGTTTGCTAAGTATCTATCTTATTACTGACTGGGAAGCCTACATTGACTACAGTACTGGTAGTCAGTAAGCCCTGCAAAAGGTGGTCAGTTATCGCTTTCTGTGGTAGTTATGCACCAGGCATTTGGAAAGTTAACAGAGGTATTTGTTTATCTGAGATCTTATACAATATTAAGAAAGAATGTTTAGGGTTTTTAATGGATTAAATGGTTTTAATTTTCCTGCCACTCTATTTTGCAGACAGGAATTTTTTCACTCAGTAAAGTTCCATTTACTTTATAGTCTCTCCCAAACATGTATTTCATCCCCAAATACTTTACCGCAAAGCACTAGTTTCTATGCAGACAGTATTTTGCTGTTGATATATGAATGGTATTACTTATGTCCAGTTCTGCAGTACTCAGAGGCAGAATTGCCTCTGTCTTCAGGAAGAGAGACTGCATATTAGTACATGCCTTAAATAATAGCACTGACACAAGCAGTTGATGTTTCCTGTTGAAGATTCAATGTGAGATCGAAGTTCTATTGCCTTAAAGACCCCAAACTGTTTTCGTGGTGTATATATTAAATATGTGGATTTAGCAACTGCATAATTACCCATTCTGATATTATTTTAGTAAGGAAAATCCCAGCAATACTTTAGTATGAGGAGTAGTACTAGCCCAGGTGCTGTGTTAGAGATAATTGTTAGGAAGGCTGCTCCCCTTCTGGAAGTATTGTTTTTGAATCTATTAGATTGTGTGTTTCCAGAACTCTCTATCCTATCTCTCCAGGTATAAACTAAGCTGTTAACTTGATATACTCCCTCTTTAATTCACAGTAGCAGTATATCAATAAGAACAAAGTATGCCATGTTCTAACATCATTTTGGGAAATAAACTGCTGCCTTTGACTGCAGAATTAGCCTGTTTCTTGGACCAGATTTAACTATGACAAATGTTCTCAATATCCACATTACCTGTCTGTGACTGTTTAAGGAGATTTGGCAAAACAAGAAGACAATAAATTCCTGCTGCTGTATTTAGAAAAAGCCTCAGGCATTTTCAGTGTAAACACAATTTTGAATATTTGATTATGCTTCTGTGGGCTCTAACAATGTTTCAAAGGAGAAAATGAGGCACTATGTTGTCTTAGTCTAATTTATGTGTTTTCTTCTGTTACTTTTTGCTACTGTTTCTATCAGGCCCTTTTCTGCTGTGGATGTAAGGTACTGCATATGCGCAAATGCTGGGACAGGCAAAATCCCCCTTTCACTATGTGGAAGTGCTATGGGGACTTGAAAGCAGCCTGCATGAGGAGGTAGTTTACTCAGTGTGAGCTGCTGGGCTAAGTGGCTCTGTCCTGGCCCTAACAGACCCCATCTGCCAAAAGAACAATTGCCTTTAAAAATTTTACCATGTGTTTTAGTCCTGAACTGGAATCCAGATGCCTGCCTCCCAGATTACGATACAGCACAAACAAAGCAAGGATATAAACACTGACAGACTACAATGTCAGCTATCTGTGGTAGCAATCCGTGAGTATTCTCCTAGGTTGCTGCAAACATGAGGTAATTTGAGTTTAAGACCCCTTTCACTGATACCTGTCTCAATTTTGGCTTGTTTGGAGTTGTGATATCTGCCTGTAAGTGCTGTGAAACTTGGACTTTGTTTTACAGAGGCCTCTAAAGCAATGAAATTTTTCACCATCCTGAGCAAGACTCAAGCTGGTAACCTGGGGGTGAAAAGCTGGTTTTCAAAACTCTGCTCCTCAGTTCCCCAGACAAATACAGATAAATGATGTCATTTTTAGCTAGGAATGAGGTTCATTATTTGATATTTAGGAAATGCACAGTTGTCATAGCATAGCTGTAGCTAGACTGGGAGACCCACTGGTATATAACAGAAAATTGGAACAAGACCTGGCAGACTTCTGTCTGTATGCCCAAATCCAACCCATCAAATAATGCATCAATTTCAAACTAGTCCTTCTTGTCTCATAATAAATACCTGAGTCCCATGATGAATTTCTAGTAGCCATAGTGATGGTACTGTGCAAATCAGATATAAAAATATTGCTGGTGAAAACCTGAGAAGGAAAAGAAAAGATAGCTTAGTATTATATCACATTGTAAATACCATATATCCTATCGTTATCTGCATGGAAAAGTATCTTGTGCCTCCTACCATATGGGATATTAAGAAATAGGGTAACTGCAAATGAGAGTTGCTATTCTTGCTGAATTCCTCATGCTGTCAGTATTATGAATCATAGGTTTATTTGTTCATCCAACTAAGATCATAAATGGAAGTTTATTTAAAATACCTTTTTAAGAACTAACAAAAGCCACTTTGCCATTTTATTTCCATCACAGCATTCTCTGTACTTAAAAAAAAAAAAAAAAAAGCCTCTAGCTAACATACTGGTTTTGATTTCATGAAAGGTGAATTAATACATCAAGTCATTTCGCTGAATGATGCTGGGATAAAGGCTGTTGATCGGAATCTAGTATGTTGAAACGGGAAAGGTAGAAATAACATCAGTTTGCCTAAAACAAGCATTTCTTCAGTAGGAGTTTTTTTGGTGCAGGTTAAATTGGTTTATGAAAATGGGCCTTGGCCTTGTTTCCCCATTTGTGCTGGCAATTGTATAATTATTTAGGATTTCTGTCTAGTTCTTCTCTCCCTGCCAGTCTTCTATATAACTTATGATGGTGAAGCTTTATTATCTTCAGCTTCTTAAGCTGAGTTTATTCAGAAGTACTAGAGAGGTTTCATTACTCCTTCTGCAAGCACTGATTCTTGTGAGGGTTGCTGATGTTTTCTTATTAAACATGTGACAGTTTGGTTTGGGGTGGGTTTTTTTGGCAATTCCTATCCTTTTGGAGTAGGAATGAGGTCTGATGCCACTAATGTTCCACCTAGCTCTGCTGTAGTATGGAGTGAGCATCACTGCAATGCTGCTGAGACGCACAGCGGCCTTTGCATCACACATATGTACTGGCCCAGGACAGGGCAGTGGAGTCAAACTTGGGATACTGGCTTGATTCCATCATTGTCGGCACATTCTGCAGTGAATTTAAATTGCTTATAAGTATGTAACTGTAGCAACATTTTTGTCAAATGTTGTTGCATTTATTGTTTGTTCCTACCCTGAAAGTACCTTTATTTTTGTAATCATGGCTTTTCCAGTGGAGATTAAGTATTGAGGAAAAGAAAAAACCCTGCTGCTCAGGAAAATGACTGTGTTGCTGAGCTGCTATGAAGTGTTTCAAACAATCCCCTCTAAATAAGACAGTCCTGGTTTGGTTTTTTGGGTGGGGGTTGGTTTTGTTGGGGGTTTTTTTTGTTGTTTTTCTGTTTGGTGGGGTTTTGGGGGTGGGGGGTGAGGGGGTGTTGTTTTGGCAGTGGTTTGTTTTGTCGTTTGTTAAAGTTAGTGATTCTGTGGGGTTTTAGCCTGGTTATTTTGGGAGAGAACACACCTCATTTGAATGGGACAACTAACATATTTTACAGTATTTCCTGTAGGACTTGAGCACATGAAAAATCTATCCAGCTGGCAGGTTAGCAATACTGAGCTAATGATACTAGATCAGGCCAGGAGACTTCAGGGGTTTTAACCCTGCCTTTCTTTCAGAAGGAGCAATCTAGAGGAAATATTACATGGCCAGGCCCACAATAATACTTTTTCTCCACATGTGCCATTTAATTTTTTGTGCTGGTGTAATAAGTAACAGTCTTCTGTCAATAATGAATGGAGAGAATATGAGGCTCTTGGAGGCAGGAGAGACCTGTAGCACTGTCTGGCCATTCCTTGGATCAGTGATTGTCTATGGAGGTATTTCTATAAACACAGAGGATACTGCCTGTTCTGAATGTGAGCGTTTTCCACTGGAGCAGAAAGTTATCCTGATGCAAATAGGTGCTGGCCATTTGTCTACAGTTCTCACCCATAAACGTTCTTTACTGTGCTGCTTGAAGTGCTGGATGACATCCATTTGTAAAATTTCCTTCTAACTAAATTTAGCCCAGTCTTCTAGCACATGTATTCATCTAAAATGTAGCTGCTTTTTCTGTATCTATTTTTCTTTGGATTTTCCAAAAGCTGCCACAGCAAGTCTTCCTTCATGAAGAGTTTACTGCTGCCTCCTCTCCCCAGCGAATTGGGTCTGCTCACTCTGCCTCTGTCTCATAACTGTGCATTTGGAGCTCTGCTGTGGTTAAATTTTCCTGTGTTCCAGACTTTATCACTGCTTTTATTACATTCAAATTTAGAGCACAGAACACTTGTGTGAATTGTCACACAACACTGCTTCTGTTCTAATGGGTTTCACAGGTTGCAATGGGCAGGAATTTAAGATCATTGAAATACTCTAGGGCTTTTTTTTGTCCTGGATTTGTCTCAGGGCCTGCCTCCAGTTTGAGTTCTTAAAAATAAAAGGTACTGGTGAAATCTTGACAATTAGTTACATGACCACTTCCTTTTTACAGATCATTTGTTTTGGCTGACTGAGTGCCGATGAGCTGTAGATGACTGCAGTCGTTCTTTAGATGCACGTAAAAACCCATGTGCCTGGGCAAACTCTGCTATGGCTAACTCTTTTGTTCATTTCTCAGGCAGCCTTTCGTGTGTGAAAGTTCCCCTCTGGAACAGCCTCTCCAACCCAAATCTTTAAGCCACTTTGCTATATCGCAAGAGTGGCCGCTGCTCACCTTTTACCTGTCACCGGGTTTGGGTTCGGGCACTAGCGGGGTGTTAGTAGGGGAAGGCAGAACCAGGGAAGGAGGTGCAAACCCCGGGGCACGGCAGGACGGGCTAAGAGGTGCGGGGCATCTGCGTGGAATAGCCTGCGTGGGCCCCCAGCGCCCTTCGGCACGTCACGCGTGTACTCCCTGCCACGGTGCTGCTCAGGAGGCGCCCAGGGAGGCGGCGAGGGGCGGCGCGTGCCCCCCGCTTCCCCTGCCCACCCCATCGGCAGCTCCCCAGCATGTACCTCTCCTCCTGAAAGCCCTCCGGGTTTGGCAGTGGGCTAGCGGGGGCTTTACCAGTTTTCCACCCCACACCCCCCGCCCAGGTGGAGCAGGGGAGAAGACGCAAATCCCCTGAAAGCCCTGGCAGAAACGAAGCTCTCGGGCAGCGGCTGCAGAAGGCAGCCTCGCATCTGCAGCCAAGTACATGCAAAGAAGCAAGAGGGGCTCCGGCGGAGCCGGCGGGATAATGCTCACCATTTGTAGCCTCTGCCTTGTTTAAACTTGAGGGTGAGCCCTGTCTCCAGGCACAGGAGAAGATTGAGCAGTGCCAGCAGCCAGTACTTGGGTTCTTTCTTCACTGCGGTCACTCTCCAGACCCCGATGAGAGAGTGCAACACAAAAAGCAGGCGAGTAACCAGAGCATTGAGCAGCACCATCAGCTCCATCGTGGAGCAGCCCCCCCGCCCCTTCTCCACACACCGCAGGGGCCCAGCGCTTTTTAGGAGCCCTGGGAAGTTACCCTGGGAATCACTGGGAAGCGTGCGCACCACAGGCGCACAGATCTCTTCTTTTCCATCTCCACAAAGGGGCCCATTATAACAAAAAAGAAACAGCATTGCCCCTCCCCCAGACTTCCTGAAAACTTTTTAAAGGGAAGAAAAAAAAAAAAAGCTCGCGCTTCCAGGCTGCAGTGATTTATAGTGCTTGGTACAGCTCTGACCACGCTAAGACAGGGGCGTGAAGGGTTTTTTCTGTCCCCTCTTTATCATCTGCTCAAGGACTAAATGGCAGGGAGGTTTCTATCTCACACAGTTACCATCTCTCTGCTAGTCCCACTTGCTGCTCTCACCTTGTAGATTTCTAGCAGAGACAAAATATAAGAAGCATTATTAATTTGAATCTTCCTTGCTAAAAGATCTGCTGCATTACAGAGACTGCAAAACCCTCTTTCCCTTCCTCCTGAAAGATATAATTCATATCGGGGAGCTTTTAACATTGTTCATTTGACACTGCAATACAGAAAGCAGAAACTGTGTACTTAGTTCAATAGTGGAATCCCTGTGTGCAACAGAAGTTAGAAAAGCTAATCTGGGCTAACGCTAATGTTGCCAGATAGGCCAATAGGGACATACACAAGAAATACACAGAATTTTGACTACTAGGTGAGTTACCTCTAGACTGACCTTTAGTGTCTACTGTGGGAACAGTTTAGAAAGTACAGAGTATGTTTAAAAAATTGCTTTAATGTTTCTCATAGTGATTATGAACTTTATTTGAATTTACACTTGGGTAACCAAAGACAAATTTCTTCTTGATCAAAATTGTCACTGTGTTGCTCCAGTTTTGTGTTGATTTACTGCCAAAGCACTGAAATTGAGATACGCCACAGTAAAATACAAATGGAGAATCAAGTCCACGTAACGTATTGTGGCACTCCAAAGGTCCTAACTTCCTAGCTGATTTAATTTTAAATATCCTGTTCTACTTTAAACACAAGGAGATACTCTTCTAAGAGTTGTGACCTTTCTAAGAAGGTGTTTTTCCTCAATTGCTAAGATCCAAGTATTCCTCACTGCAAAACTAAGCCTCTTTCTCTATGAAGTGCTGAAGCTGGTGCTGGCCAGCTGATACCCTTGGGGGGAGATGGGGGAGAAGACTACTTAAAAATAACCCTGCCCAGAAAAAAAAGAAAAACAAAAGGCCATTCCACGGTATAGATCACTCACTCAGGAAATGCCTGAGTAAATAAACGGACTGTGCAGCGTCCCTTTTTGAAGCAACAAAATCAAGTTCCTCTCACTCACAGGAAAATTCATTCAAGTCAAGGCCTACTACTGATAATACCCTGCCAACAGCCACCCTGCCATATCGTGCCTTGAGTGCTGTTGGTTCACAGCCCTTCCGTTGGTGTTAAGGTCAAACCTAGTTGAAGAGGAAACAGGGAACAGACGGAATAGAGAGATTGTTTAAACAAGATACTCCTCTGTGGGAGTGCTTGATGTGTCTAAGAAATGACATGGGGAACTGGTATGTCTAATTGTTCATGGAGATCCTGACAGCACAGATGTCAAACTTGGAAAGATGATGATCAATGGGATGTTCCCATGATATTATGTATTCAGGAAGGATGTGGTGATCTTTGCTTATAGCTAGTAGTTCTGCATACTAAGACACCTTGGAGCTGAACTGCTTAATAAGGGAACTTCATCAATGAGCAATCCAGACTTCACATCAGTAGAAGTCCCAAACACAGGTAGGAATTATATATAATATTGACTCTGCCTAGCTGACCAGTGGACCATGATGGCTGGCTGATGAAGGAATGTGAGGGACAATCGGGGAAAAAGCATAACTAAAATGTCTGTTATCTGTTCAAACACATCGTGAAGAGGAAGTCTGCCAGGGAATTGTGGGGTCAGTGGATGGTCAGGTGGCACTTCTGTGCCCTCAGGGTGATAAGGCTGTGCAGAAGCTGATGAACTTTTTGGAGTCCCAGCATGAGTATAGATGTACACTGTAGTGCAGAACCAGAACAGCACTGACTCCTGCACAAAAGCTTATAGAAATAGTGTGTGGGGGGGGTCCTTATGATGTTATATGTACTAGTGTTCCACTAACTCTGTTCTTTTCATAGTTTCTACTAATTTGCAACTTACAGTTGCCAGGCTAATTGATCACGGGCTAGGGAGTACTTGGGGCAGAAACTTTGTGTTTACCTTGTTCTTGTACTCTTCCCTAAGCATGGAGCTTGGTCCACTCTTGGAGGCAGATAGTGGAATAGATGGACCTTTACTCTGACCTGAAATAGTTACTTTAATAGAGTAGAGACTATAAAGTCTCTAAACGAATTGACCTGGAGTGAGAGCAGGACAATTTATGCATGTTGGTATTTTTGGTTGGATCCAAGCTCAAAGCAAGACTCATGTCTGTATGGAGTGCTCTGCTAATGAATGATACACCCTCTTCTTCTTTCTGTCTGGAAACTTTGTCCATGTAGATGCTGAGAATTTTCTCTGTCTGGGAACCTTTGAGAGTTAGATGCTTCCAGATGAGCTGCTGTAGTCTGGCAAATCCAGGACACAATGGTGTGAACATGTCATGGCACGTGGGACTTTCATCCAAGACACCTTGGCAAGACCTATTGCATGCCTCTTCCATGTAATAGCCAATTGCAGCATGTCTGATGCATTTGGGAAGTGTTAAACCTTACTGTGCCGCCAGCACCAGTGACCTGCTGCAGGAACAGGAAATCTGGCACTTCAAAAAGCCGTGCCACAGAATCTTTGCACATGCATTTGTCTGATTTCAGCTTTTAGGCTGAGTGACTATGCTGATTTCACTAAACAAACCCCATAACTGTCTGAAAGTGCACCAGTTCCCAAGAAGAAACTAGGGTTGGAGATGGATTGCAAGCTGAATGCAAGTCAGCAGTACCATGCCATTGTGAAACGGATGGTGACATTAGTAGAGATACAGAACTGAAACCTGCAAAGTGCTCTCCTCCATTTGGGAAAGCCTTAGCTGAAGTGCTGCCCTACTTTGGTCAATGAGGGAAAATCTAGTGGAGAAGTGCAAGAGTATTTCTATAGTAGGAAATGAATAAATTGCAGAAACAAGTGGTTCATATTTAAATAGTAAAAGTGACATCCTTATTAGGTTGCAGTGCTTATAGAATCAAAAGACCCTTGTTCAAGTACCTGGAAGACTCCAGTTTGGACAGCAGCAGTACAGGGGCTGGAAATCCTGTGAGGAAGAATTCCAGTACAGAAGTTCTGGGGGGTTTGGTGATCACGTGTAATGTGTTTGGGGTTGTTTTTTTTTGAAGGGGAGCTCTGAACAAATGAGATTGTAAATAAGCAATAGAAGTAAATTCTGAGACAAACTGGAATGTTTTGGCAGCAAAATTTGGGGGTAGTGGCTATTCGCCATCTTCAGTTCAAGAGACTCTGAAGATTTGATTTACAATATTCATAAAGAAATAATTATAGGATATTAAGCAAGTAGCTGAAAGAGGCTGTGGATGAGAATGGCTCATAAATTCAATGTGAGTCAGTAGTGTTGTTCTGCTCTGAAGGAGGCGCACTGGGATGTATAAACTTACCTGTAACATGCCAGATTTGAGTTGCTGCTTCCACCTTTCTTGATGCTGGGAAGGACCTCGGCTAAACTACCCTAATTCTGGTGATGCATTGTACTGACAGGATAGTGTCCATAGAAGAACAAGACTGCTGAGGAAAGAAAAAGGGGGTGCTGTGATTCGGTCTAGAGAAGAGAAAACTGAAGAGAGATGGAAGTGGCCAAGTGTTCACGAAGCTGTTGCAGGGAGGCCAGGAATAGCCCATTTCCCGGTCCCAAAGCATAGGGAGGAGGTAAAAAGCTTAAACAGCAAGAAAGATTGCAATTAGATGTCTGGAGACATATCTTGCTAGGAAGGACAGTGAAGTACTGAAATAGATTGCACAGAGAGATATTGAATCTCCATTGTCGCAGGCTTTTAAGCACAGATTAGGGGAACATCTGTCAGGAATGACAGCAGTTTACTTGATCAGACTGGGGCAGAGGGCTGGCTGGAAGATCTCTGGAGGTTTCTCCAAGTCTTACCTCCTAGAGCTCTAAGGTTTATTTCTTTATTATCTGATCACTGTCTTGAGTCTCTGAGGAAGTTTCTTGCTTAAATTAAATCTGCTTAATTTTACTTCCAATAGGGTTCTTGAAGAGGAGAAAATTGTTCTGTTGTCTGAATGCTTGACTGCAAACTGTGAATAATTACGACAGCCTTATAGAGAGATCATAACAAGTGCCAATTAACATACATGTTGAAATGAATTGGAATGATTCCGTTTCACATGTGAAAAAAAATAACCCAACTATCTGATTCTGGCATAAGTGAAAGCCTGAATCTTGCCGATCAAATGCAAGAGGGGAAAGCCAAATCTTTCAAAACATGGTATGTGATAGAAGGTACTAGCTATAGCTCAGTAAGGGTGTGAAGGAAATGGATAAAGGAGTGAAAAAACAGAGTATAAAAAGATTAGCTCTCCAGTAAAGAGCCAATATGATTGCAGAAGCATTAAAATCCCTGCAGGAGATTTACTGAGGACTCTGCCCTGGATTAGAATTTGATATAAAATAACTTAACTGAAGTCATACAATTTCTGTGCCATTTGTAGCTGAGTTAATAGCACATGTTCCTGGAGGATTACAGTCAATGATTAAGGAAATTAGGTTTTGTTTGAATTTAATTTAGTTGTATAAAGCTGCTACAATAATTTACAGCTTTGATATTTAATATTTAATAACCCAGATCTTAAAAGAATCCAAGATATAGCAATGTCATTATATATTGAAATATTATCCCCATAAGTCATTTATATTTGCTAGTTGATAAGAATGTTCATCAACTAGATGGGCTCAACAGGAGCTACTTGATAAAAACCAATGCAGTTTTACAGGTGGTGGTGGGGAAATCTTTCTGTATGTTAGCCAGTAAATCATAATTCACTTAGAAAGAACTTTGCA